AATACTTGACAAAAAACAAATAGGACAAGCATGCTGATGAATTAAGATTTCATTAAAAACAATTTAGTGAAGTTATAGACAGTATTTGTGACATGAATGTCCTGTGTGGTTATTGCATACTTACACTGATAAAACTCCAATCGCTGCCATTTTCTGGATTAGCGGTTTTTTCAGTTGCAGAGTCAAAACCAGATAAAATGCCAAAAACCGGCAGTCAAGCCTTAAAACCAGAGGGTCCTCCTCCAAAGCCGAGAGTCAAAATTCAAAAGGGACTAGATAAACTTAAAATGAATAGCCGAAGAAATTAAAGAAATTCTGTTACCACAAACCATTTTAATTAAGCTATGTAAAATAGTTCTGTATAATGTATTAATAGGCCTATATAGGCCTAAGATAACAAACATCTATTCAAACTTTCTATTCATATCTTACAAATTCCACCACACTGAACAAATTTGGCCCTGATTTTATCAGAGAAATAATGCATTAATTGGGTGTGCCGCTAGACGTCCAGCTGTCATAGCAGAACTAGACTAAATGAAGTGAATGCAATCCAGGGTTTGAATGTACAACATGTCTGTGTCACCACCTGACTATCCATCACTCCCCTTCCTATGTGTGAATGTGACTAATAAAGCGGCTGACGTCTATTCTCTCAGTCTCTTTCTGTTCCAGAGTTGCTTGTGGAAATGATGATGCGTTTCAAAGAGCTCCTATTTCAATAATAAATCTTATTTTACATAACTGATTATGCATGGATAATGATGCACTAATCATTATGAATGATTGCTGAATGAATAATCAGTGAAGTATGGTTAACACGGTATGATTTAGTAAGGACTCCCGTATGCAGAGGTTCATGTATTAACTTTGCACTGATTACACTGCGTTCTAGAAAGTGATTTAGGAAGGAACAAATAGAGGAGAGAACGACAGGGAAGCAAACTGGCAGCACTCCAACCCTATTTTGTCAATACCATCACTGTTTCAGCTGCAGGCTTCAGTGTTTATCAGAGGCAGAGAACAGCGAGCAGCTGCAGACCGGAGCGCACGAGGGTGCTGGAGCGCTGACTTGAGGAGATGTGTTTGAAATGAAATACTAGCTCACGGCTTGCTGCATACTGCACAGTACACACTTTTTTTATTTTAGCAGTATGTGCCATTATTACACTACAAACGTCTTTTCCTTGTCTGAGATACAGGGATGGTGTTAGATGGTAATTCCGTAATAGTCAATCAGTACCATATTCTAGTAACTGTATTTATACTCAAGGCATTCAAAGAATATCATGGTACTTTTATGCTATTGTAAAAAAAAAGACATTAAATGTAAAGAGGTCTCACAGCAATCTATTTTGGTTTGGACGGTTGTCTTATGCAATGGCAAAAGTGTGTGTGCAAGTTGCCTTGTGTATATACATATAAGGCAAAGCAGACGGCTGGTTTTCTCAGTCTACTGCCCACAGTCTGCACAGAACACCTGAGACGTGACTGTGTGTGTGTGTGTGTGTGTGTGTGTGTGGGAAGAGAGCCAAGCTTATTCTTTCCAATGCAGCTCTAAGTTTAATAATGCTTGTAATTGGAATGGATGGGTGCAGAAGAGCTCTGCTAAGACTGTGAAGCTAATAGGAGTAAGTGAGAGCGCTTTGTGTGTGTGTGTGTGTGTGTGCGAAGAGAGCCAAGCTTATTCTTTCCAATGCAGCTCTAAGTTTAATAATGCTTGTAATTGGAATGGATGGGTGCAGAAGAGCTCTGCTAAGACTGTGAAGCTAATAGGAGTAAGTGAGAGCGCTTTTGGCTGCAATCCACACGGCTTTTGCCTTTGACATTATGGGAAAATAACATTTACAGGTGTATCAGCGGAATCTCAAACAGTAAGGGAACTAGTAGATAAATGAAGAGTTTTAATAAAAGAGAATTAATAAAGAGTTATTTGACGGTACATACACCATTAATCTAAACAATACATGTTAACCATATATCTTTATGGTTCTTTTATGGCATCACTGTAAAAAAAAAAACCTTTTGCATTAATGCATTTAGCAGAAGCTTTTGTCTAAAGAATCAAAGAGTAACATAGCAATTTAGTCAAAGAGCCAACAATATTCATAATACACAATGCCCGGTTTATTATACAACTAAAATAGGAACCTTTATTTTTAAAAGTGTAATGCTTTTCCATGTCTTGAGCAATTGTGCAATGCCACACCGTTTCAGGCAGCAGGATGAAACTCATTTTGAAATGCAAAAAAAAAAGAAAAAAGAAATATACCTTTCTCCCGCATTACCCCAACCCAGATAAAAGGTGTTCAGCCAGCAGAACGCTGACATTGGCTCCCCACAGGCTGCCTTTGCTTATGAAAGAGAACAAGCCCTGATGGATTTTCTGATAAATATCTTTAAAGAGGTAAATAATGAGCAAACCTGCTCCCACAGAGGACTGGAAACACTTCACTGCTGTGCTCACTCAGTAAAACTCCTGCTCAGGGTTATTCATGTGAGAAACGAGGAGTGACAGAGGAGACTGAGGAACGAGAGGCTGGATGAGATCCGGAGATCCGGAGATCCGGAGTCTCTTTTCCCTGTCCTCAGGCAAAACACTTTCATCTACGGCAAAGGGCTTTCTTGAAAAATTGTCTGAAATCTGCCACAAGAAGCTTTTTGGGTAAGGTAATGGTGCGTTTTGTAGTGATTGCATTTCGATTAGAGAGCTGCATTTAATGCTGCAGCTGCGTCTCAACATTATATCCAGTGGCTGTGAAATTCACAGATAATCCCTGTGAAATGGGCTGGAACATGGAAATTCAGCAGCTTATGGAGTCTAATGAGTGGTGTGGGCTCGAATGATGACTCGTCTTTTTCTTCAGAGAAAACCATTATAACAGCATTTATTTCTGATCTGAGACATTCAAGGAAACGTTCACCCAAAAACGAAGATTTGCTATTAATCTTTGCTATTAAGTGAATGGGTGCCGTCGGAATGAGAGTCCAAACAGCTGATAAAAACATCACAATAATCCACAAGTAAAATGAACTCATCCTCAAGCCATCCAAAAGATGTAGATGAGATGTTTCTTCATCTGAACACACTTGGAGAAATGTTGCATTCCGTCACTTGCTCACCAATGGATCAACAGGGGATGGACTTTTTTATTATTATTATTATTGTTTTTATTTATTTATTACATATTATGGACTCATATTTTGGCCAGAAGTGACAGTTTAAAGTTAAAATGCTTTAATGATGGATATTGGCTTCTCAAGATGTTAACTGATGGACTGGAGTGGTGTGGATTATTGTGATGTTTTTATCAGCTGTTTGGACTCTCATTCTGACGGCACCCATTCACTGCAGAGCATCCATCGGTGAGCAAGTGATGCTACATTTCTCCAAATCTGTTCCCATGAAGAAACAAACTCATCTACATCTTGGACGGTCTCAGTGTGAGTACATTTTCAGCATTTTTTTTAAATTGTAAATTTTTGGGTGAACTATTCCTCTCATCTGCTTCTATAGTAGAAGAGCAAATCATTTCTAAGGAGTGCTCTACTTACAGTCTATTTGGTAACACTTGGTCCAGCATTCTGTTCAGTAATACATGACAACCATCATTCCCTTCTTTTATAAATACACACAAAATAAAAAAAATAAAAAAATTTCACGCTGAGTGTTTATTTGTACCGGTGACAGAGAACAGCAATATTGCACATACTGCAAGCCAGTTAATATGCACATCGTTTAATAACACTCAGGCCCTTTAATCTAGAGATCATTAGCTTTACATCTACTGTGCAGACTGAAGTAAGCATAGCATACACAAAATATTAGCATAGTTGATTTAGGAATGTGAAATTGTGTTTGGTCTACTGAAGAAATTCAACCTAATTACTAATACTACAAATATAGCTGCTAATAAAATACATTTCCCTCTCTGGAGGATCATCGCTGTGACGTCGCTGTGCTTTTCTCTTAACAAAAGTTAAGAGACTTTATTTGAGATTTTTTCTTCCCTTTTTAAAGTTCATTTTTTTACAATGGATGTCTATGGGGCAAGATGTTTGGGTTTTAAAGTAAAAAAAAAGTGAACCTCTTATTTTTTTGTTAAAGTGCTTAACTTAACCTTATTCTGTACAAAAATGTGTGATATTTGAGCTGCAATTGTAAATGACTACACTTTTAATACAGAGAGGTATTGCTACTCTGATGCCTTGCCCATTCAACTTCCATTGAGAGAGCAATACTATAAGCACAATTTTTGTTTCGTTGTAGAAGGTGAAGGACAAATTATTTCTAAATTCTGTGGTAATCAACAGCATCACAGACACAGACATAGAGCTTAACTTGTACTGAACCATGAACATTTCTTTAATGTACAGTTGGGCTGTATAGTGAGTATAACATTTCCTGTTAAAAGAAAAGGTAACACTTTGCAATAAGGTCTCATTACATAATATTAGTTCATGAATTAAGTAAGGAGTAATTGACAACGGGCCATTGAATTATTAGAACATAATGCACTGTAAATGTAATGAGACCTGACTGGAACAAATTTAGCTCTACGTTTCCCTGAAAATAACTGCACACATTAGAACGTTTGTTACCCAATCAGAAACAAGCATTCAACTGCAGTAATTCATTACAGTATTTATTGTTCTTTGTTAATTAATGTTAGCTCAGGTCCATTATATAATATTAGATAAAACACTTTTGTTTTTGATAACGTGTTAGCAAATTTTTAAATTAACGTTAACTAAGATTAATAATTGCTTTAAGTATTTTTCAATGTCATTTCATGTCAACGAATGTAGTTAACCAATGTTAAGAAATGGAACCTTATTGTCTGTGTTATCAAAGAAAGAACAGAACACAATAGACAGGAGACAAGAGAACAGGGAGAAGGGAAGAGGAGAAGACATATAATGTCATTGGAGGACATCTGATCCTTCTTTATTAAATTATAGCTTGAGGAGCTCACCACCTCTGCATTCTGCATGTCCAGTTTCCTAGTGGAACATTCTAGAACATCTGAGAGGTTCATTATTCTAGAGCACCTCATCGGTCTAATACTCCGGAATGTCCAGCTGATACAATACTTCAGAATGTCTTCTCCATTTCCAATACTTGCACAGAATTTACTAACATCTACTGAATTTCCAACCTGTGTGCTCTATAAATCCTGTCCCAGTCTTTCAATCTCATCGATCAGGAAGTCAATGTCAGACCTGGTTACAGCCGGATTAGAGACAACCATTCTGAAGAAGTTGACCTTATCGCCTTGAGGCTGATAGCCCACCATTGTTGTCCCACACTCCATCATCATTGCCTTGATCTTGGGGGCAACCTAGATAGAAGTCACAGGTCAGAAGCTTAAGGTAACCTGGCTAAATAAAGTGCGTGGTCAAATATGTGGCATATACACATTTGTAGAGCAACTTATGTAGACTGAGAAGGAGTGAGTCTGAGTATCGTCTCACCCTATGAAGCCGTTGTCTTTTCTCCTCTCCATCTGGCAGGAGCCGCAGGTTTGGAGGAATGTACCAGAAACACACATTGGTGTGCTGGGGCTAAGAAACAGACAGAAGGGCAGCATTAAAAAGTTATGAAAGAAACCTTGAGACTGAATAGTACTAGAGTATGTGATGGACCCTGGTAAACTCGGTTGTGATTGTTTTCACTCACCTCCCCTTGAAACACCATCTCATATCCTTCTCGGTTCTTTATCTTGTGGTAGAGATACTCGGACAGCTCCAGACATCTGTCAATGTGCTTCTCAAAGCCTATAGTGCCCTGTTAAAGACGACAGATCCATAACATCACAGCTAATATTCTACACAGACATCTATGTGTTGGATTGACATTAATTCTATACATGACAATACAGTAAATATATATCCACCATCTATCCATCCAACCAACCGTACATCCATCCATCCATCCATCTTGCTATCCACCCACCCATTCTTCCATCCATTCATCCTTCATCCATCCACCCATTTATCCATCATCCATCCATGCATCCACCCATTCATCCATCATTCATCCATGCATCCACCCATCATCCATCCACCCATTTATCCGTCATTCATCCATGCATCCACCCATCATCCATCCACCCATTTATCCATCATCCATCCCAACGGTTAATCCATTAATCCACCCATCCCTCCGTCATTAATTCCAACCATTCATCCATCTTCCACCCCTTTATCCAATATACACTGTTCATCATCTATTCAACTGTTCATCCATCCAACATCCATCCAATCGTTAATCCATCCATCCATTCATCAATTAATCCATCATCCATCCATCCAACCATCTATTCATCCATCCATTAACCCATTCATCCATCATTCATCCAACCATTCATTTATCCATCCATCCATCCAACTGTTCATCATTCACCCATTATCCATAATCCATATATTCACCATCATACATCCATCCCTCCAATTTGTTTTTCACCAGTCCACCATCCATCCATCCATCCAACCGTTCATCCACCCATCCACCCACCTGTTCATCCATCCATCCATCTCTCCGTCCACCCATTTATCCATCATCCATCCCATCGATTCATTCACTCATCTATTCATCCATCCACTCATACATCCACCATTAATTCCAACCGTTCATCCATCCATATTACTCCTTCATCCAATATACATACAACTGTTCATCATCCAACTATTTATCATCCATCCAACTGTTCATCCACCCATCATTCATCCAATCATTCATCCATCTATCCATTCATTAATTAATTCATCATCCATCCATCCATCCATCCATACAATTTTTTTTTTTAATCAGTCCATTAAAAACATGATTTTTGTGTTCTGCATTTGATTCATTCATGAGTAACACATTATCAAATGCTGAGGTTCTGATCTCATGGATGTGCACACATACCTTTGACTTCCACATGAGCCAGAATTTGAAGATGTCTACATGACGGCCACACTGTATGGCTTTGTCCCCTGTGTCATAGGTAACATCATACTGCTTATCCGGCTGAAAAAGATAACCAGCACACATGGAGTTGCAGCCCTGTAGAAGACCCTGAAAACACACACACACACACACACACACGAACACAGTGAGATGGAAGGAACACTGAGTGGAGATGAACACAATAACATGTCAAACTCAGCGAGCAGCTATTTATCTCTCTTTTGATTCTTTGTCTCTGCCTCTTGTCCTCACTCAGCTTTCTTTGTATTCTATCACTGAATTTTACTCAGTTCCATTACTATTCAGACTCATTTACTCTGATGCCCCCATTTCTCGCTTTCTCTCTTACCTTCTCTCGGACCAGAATGGCAGAGCACTGCAGCGGAACGCCCATCATTTTGTGTGGGTTCCATGTGACAGAGTTTGCTCTGCAGAAACAACACTGATCAGAAACCGCTATTCGCACATGTTATAGTTGGTCAAGAACACAGTAGAGTATGTGGACTTCTTTCACTTTTGAAAAATCATTATATTTTAGTTTTATGTCTTTGACATTATTATAAAAGTGTACTTTTTAAAAGAGTCTTAAGTGGGTTAAAAAGCAGTCATGCAAGTGTACTCTAAGTATTTTATTTCATTAATATTATATGCATGTACTATTTTTAAAATATACTTTTAAGAGTTAAAGTATACTACATGTGCACATTCAGTACCATTAAGTGCACTTCTTTTTCACAATGTCTCTCCTCTTTTAAGACCACCCCTTTGCCCCTGGAGCGTAATGTATCATACCTCTCAATGCCATTCAGTTTGTGTCTGTGTTTTCTAGACATCAGCAAACCTCCACCCCACGCTCCCTTCAAAAACACATTCAACAGATCAGTTCCAAAAGAACTTATTCACAGCCTTTCACCATAATATGTCTGCTAAAGTGAATAATGAAATAATCACAAACGTACATCCACATGAAGCCACATGTTGTATTTCTCACAGATGTCAGCGATCTCATTGATTGGATCAAAGGCTCCATACACTGTAGATCCAGCTGTAGCATTCACAAACACTGGCACAAACCCCTGGACAGCAGAGACACAACAAAACCATTTCACCAGATAACATGCACAATGGAAATCAGAGTTGCTCAAAACTAAATCTTTCAAACTAAACTCACAATATGCTTCTGAAACAAATATGGGCTTAAAGGAACCCCATTTATTTAAATGGACCCCATGTCATGCTCAGCGTCTAAATGGTCCAGTACTGAGATACTATGTTCTGATGTCTTTTAGATACATCATTCATGTTTAATCAACTGCACTGTTTTTTTAATAGTGATAATAAAGGAATGTTACAGGTTTAGCTTTAGAAGTCCAATGTGCTTACAATCAAAGTCTGCAGTGCAAGGAATTAAAGGGTATGTGCAGTTTGTATTTTGCTCAAGCACTATTAATTATTCCTTACAAAACAGTGTGTTATCTGAGCTGTTGTAAAAAAAAATAGACAAAAACAGACGAACATATGAATATGCATTATTGACTTCATTGTTGCTTATTGTGAGAATAGTACTGTGTTTAAAATTTTTTACATGGTTGTGACAAAAATTTAAAGACTGGATTATAACTTTATACAAGGATGGTAAGCAATTTAATCTCAATAGTCTAATATAATGTTGAAGTCTTTTGGTTAGAGTTTATTCTTGTGCACCAGAGACTCACCTTCTGTTTGGCATCAATGACTTTGGCCTCCAGATCAGCCGGAATCACTCTACCTCTAACAAAGACACGCAAATGACTCTCGTTGATGAGACAGTCCACAAACACACAGCACAGACACCGAGAGTTTCCACTTACCTCTCATCTGTCCTCAGCAGGATCAGATTCTCTGTGCCGAAACCCAGCACTGCACTGGCCTTCTTTATAGAGTAGTGACTCTGGGAACAATATTGTAACAGACTTGTAAGTGTATGGTGGTTTGTGCATTTAATTACATTCAAGATCGTTCAATGTCACTGATACCCAGCGCGACACATTTTAATGCAAGCAAATGAGATGTAAGAACTGCAGCAAAAGGAAAAGGTTTACAGTGAATAATGGGTTAAATTTTGCTCTTTTGGGCTAGCGTAGCTAGCGTATGGTTTCAAAAGACTTACAATATAATGCAAAGGACTACTTCATGGTGCTTGTTTTGTCAGTTTTGGAGTTCACTGCATTCTTTGTATAAAAAAAAGAGATAGAAGGATATTCTGCAAAACATTTTCTTATGAGTTTCAGGAAGAAAGAAAATCATACGGCTCAGTAAATGATGACAGAATTTGCCTATTTTGTCCCATTCCTATTTTTTATGGGTTGACATCAGAAAAAAAATGTGATAACTTAAGAGCAGGTCATATGGTTTTTTAATAAAGTGTCCTAATATTGTGTTGGAGTCCCCTACAACAGGTTTAAATGCATATAAGGTTAGAAAACACTGTCATTTTCCCAGAATATACATTTATACATAGAGTCATTTGTCCATGATTTCGAAACGGTTTGTTTGATTCAGTTCTGAGCGAAATGTCTGTAAACCCCTCCCTTCCATAAGCCTACTCTGCTCTGAATGATCAGCTGGCCAAGCCTGTTGTGATTGGCACAAAGAGGAGCGCTTGAGCAAGTTAGCGAGAAGAGTATAACTGCAGCCTGGAGATCTCCAAATGGGGGCGGGAACTCCAAAACGGGGCGGGAGCTCCAAAATAGGGCGTGGCTTCCTCCCATTGACAGACAGGCACATGACACGCATGCGCAATTTTTTCCCCCAATCCACTTCAGTGCAAACTCCGCCCCACAGCTGATTCTAAAGATTTTACCACACCTGATAACCAGTGAAATTGACTGCACGGCGGGATTGGCGCTGAATAGCGTGGTAAAGAAAGATGAGAAAGATGCGATCGTTCCGTAACTCCCCAACCGGACCTCACCGGACAATGGCACCTTTTTAGTTAC